ATGAGTCGACCCAGGCTCGAACTGAGGACCTTCTGTGTACTTCCAAACCACTGTATGTAAGACAGATGCGATAACCAACTACGCCATCGACCCATAAATAACAATGTCTGTGGCGCATGAGAAAGGAATCGTGCATGTTCACATGAATTGGCATTGATGACGATCGAAATTTTGTTCTCTTTGTGCATTACAATCAGTATCATAACAAGGGGCGCTGAAAGTAAAATTGAAGCTGTAAATATTGAGTACGAAGCATTAGTAGTGGCCGCCGCAAATCAGAATCGGAAACCTCATATATATGAATGAGGATGGGGGAATCAGGGAAAAAGCTCGACTTCAATAACTTTCCAATGAGTCGACCCAGGTTTGAACTGAGGACCTTCTGTGACGACAGACTACGACATCGATGTTAGACAGATGCGATAACCAACTACGCCATCGACCCATATATTTCGTTGTTTGTGGCGCATGAACAATATCGTATATGACGTTTGTGGAGAGCAACTTCATGAAACCACACGTAAGGAGCTGTGTGGGGGCTTTTCGCGCTTCGTTTTCCTGCCACGACGTGCCCCAGGCAGATCTTGATACCCAGCAGGCGCACCAGTAGTACTAGTTAGTTCCTGTTAGAAAGGTTCAGATATCGGAGCCCAATTGTGTACTTATACACGAGATGATCTGTCAACGGGTGGGGGAAGTGAAAATACATTTAGGAGCCACAGAGTAACTGAAGTTGACCAAGGATGTTACATGTAAGCAGAGGATCGCTACAGAATGACCTCGGAATGATTCGGATTGTGATCGATGGAGAGGTTTCAAAAGTGAGATGGAATTACATTAGATTTTACGGTTCCTTTCTATTCCGGCATGGTGAAAACTGTCGCAAGATACTAACTTGGAGTTGCTTGGTCAGAACCCGGAAAGTCAGAACTGCCGGCGCAGTGGTTTGCGGAGAAAACTTGAACTTCGAGATTCAGGCTTCAAGCCTCAAGCATGGGATGATAAAAATCCCTTATTGAATTTATTCATCCAGAAACAGAACGGACGATTTCTAAGCCTTGGAGATGGGAGAAAATCATGAGTTGATGAGTTGGAATGCAATATAACAAGAAAGTAGGTTACGTAATACAATTCCCATCAGGCTGGCAAGAACTAAACCAGGCCTTGAACACTGCGGCCACGATGAGCTCGTCAGTGGGCACTGACCACACTGTCGGCAGTCGCCCAAATGCTCACAAGCCAAGGCCTCTATCAATGCCGCCTCCAGCACAGTCACAAGCATCTTCGTCGCAGGAACAGTCCAGGGAGACGACCCCAAGTAGGCGTCAAGCCTCGGGCTCCTCACGGCCTGGTCGCACGAACCGCGTTCTTGGTGACTACATACTCAGCAAGACTCTCGGCGCTGGCAGTATGGGTAAAGTAAAGTTGGCAACACATTCAACCTCGGGAGAAAAGGTACGGGAGCTTATTGATTTTTTGACACGCAATGTACTGACCCTGCAAAGCTCGCAGTGAAGATCTTACCTCGTACTCAACCTGGCGCACCACCAACAAACGAGTCAGCTGCAAAGCAGGCTTCCAAGGATGCTTCCAAGGAGATCCGAACCATTCGTGAAGCGGCTCTGTCGATGCTTCTTCATCATCCGTATATCTGTGGCATGCGTGAAATGATCGTTCACCAGCATCATTATTACATGGTCTTTGAGTATGTCAATGGAGGTCAGATGCTTGACTATATCATTGCGCATGGCCGTCTCAGGGAACGCGTGGCACGTAAATTTGCGCGGCAGATTGGGAGCGCGCTCGAGTATTGTCATCGAAATAACGTCGTTCATCGAGGTGTGTGGTCTGCAGATTACTTCTTAGCTTTCATTCATGATCCATCCCTTGCAGACCTCAAAATCGAAAACATCCTCATCTCCCAAACCGGTAACATCAAAATAATCGACTTTGGCCTTTCAAATCTCTACAATCCTTCCACCCGACTCTCAACATTCTGTGGCTCGCTATACTTTGCTGCCCCCGAGCTTCTCAATGCGAAAGTCTATACAGGACCCGAAGTCGACGTGTGGAGTTTCGGTGTCGTTCTCTATGTACTCGTTTGCGGCAAAGTCCCATTCGATGACCAGAGCATGCCAGCGCTGCATGCTAAGATCAAGCGAGGTTTCGTTGAATATCCCGTCTGGTTATCAGCTGGTGCGCTATCTTTCCCCTACTTTCCTCGTTCCCTCTGACAACCAGATAGACTGCAAACATCTCCTCTCCCGAATGCTCGTGACCACACCATCCCAACGTGCCACCCTTTCCGAAGTTCTTTCCCACCCATGGATGACCCGCGGTTTCCAAGGTCCTCCGGATGCACACATGCTTCACCGCGAGCCTCTCCGCCCAGGTGAAGAATTGGACAGGAACGTCATCAAGGGAATGCAAGGATTCGAATTCGGTGACGATGGGGAAATTGAGAATAAATTACGTGAAGTTCTGATGAGTGAGGGGTATAGGCACGCCGTGAAGAATTGGGAGAAGAAGCACGGCATCCTAGGAGTTAACGGGAAAGGGCTCAATGGGAACGGATGGGGTCATGGGAGAAACGAGTCCCTTGCGGGGAGTAACAGCGCATATGGACTTAGCCAGTCGACGCTCTCCTTCGATTCAACGAGTCCTCCGCTGCCGACTTCTCCAGCCAAGGAAAACGGCAAAGACCTTACAAAGAAACCGTCGAAACGATTTTCAGGATTCGATTTCTACAGACGTAAACTATTTTCGTCGTCACCCACTTCAACGAACGCCCCTACCGGGCATGCGTCCCTTTTCAACTCTTTCTCGCCTAATGCCCGACATGGGAATAACCAACAAAGCAGCGGGGGCGACGATGACCAGGATCCAACCAGTGGCTTCCATCCTCTTATCAGCATGTACTTTTTGGCGAGGGAGAAGATGGAGAGGGAACGCGTGTATGGCCCTGGAGTCTTTGCGAGCTCGCAGCTTAGCCTTGGGGCTGGTGCAAGTAACATGCCTGTTACGAGTCCAGATGGTGTCATCGGTGGTGCTGGTCCTGCTGTTAATGGGGATGGCCGCGAAAGCAAAGAAAGTCGAGACCGGGAACGTGCGGAGAAGGAAGAGAGGGAAAAGAAGGATAAAGAGAAAGAAAGAGATAAGGAAAGAGCTGACTATTCGATGCCATTACCCCGCCTTCCTGCACCTGCAACGACGCATTTCTCCGCCCGCGCCTACGATGCCAACCAATCGCCTACACCAACCTCACCTGCGTTCCCCGTTCCTGCATCTGCTCAACCTCGTGCGAGGGATGTTGGGACACTACCACCCCCTTCGCCCGTTCTCCCATCCACGCCTAATACACCAAATACACCAATGACGGTCATGACGAGCCCGGCGCAGGCATCACCAGGGATTGCAGCACCTGCTGCAACGAAGCATAGGAGGAGCCACAGTATGAGCCAGAGACCAATGTGGGCGGGTATGTTTGGTGGTGGCCATTCACACCAGGATCCAGCATCTGCCCAGCTACCGCAGACGGTGCCCAAAAGTGCTGGTCCTGAGATGGCCAGGTTCAGGGAACTGTCAGAGCATACGGAAGAGGAGAGGGAGAGAAAGGAGGACCATTCAATGGCCAGCACTCTTGCGCGAAAGTTTGGTAGTATTCTTGGTGGGCATGGTACGATTGGTAGAAGAGGGAGCGGAACATTTGCTCAGAGGCCATCGCTCGATATTGGAGATAACACTTTGACTTCTAAGGGACCAAAGGTTTCCTTTGGAGAGAATGAGGACAAGGAAAGTGCCGTTGCGGCGACTGGAGAATTTGGAGAAAAGGAGGAGGTTGACTTGCAACGTGTCGAAGAAGAGAAGGACAAAGTGATTGGCAAGGACAAAGGTGTCAGCCACTCTCACTCTCAACCGATCGGAAGCGTCCACCGCCGCGCTGCGACGATCCTTGACACCCAAAGTCGAGGGAGTACAAAGCACAATAGGCGGAGCAGTACCGGTGGTGCTGCCCTAATGGGGAACCATGCATCAGTAAGGCTCCGTAGACCTTCAACTGGATATAGTGCACGAGTTGAGCGATTATTTGGCCGAGATCACGATGTCAAGGAGAAGGAAGAGGAAGAGGAAGGTGCCCCACCAAGTCAGGCTGATGGGGAGCCGGAAGAACCGAGAGAAGAGGATGATCATGCAGAGAAGGAGTTCAAGCCTGTGTTTTTGAAGGGTTTATTCAGGTGGGAATATTCTTTTCTATTCTGAGGGCATTGCTAACAATAAACCATAGTGTTGCGACAACTTCAACGAAATCACCACCCGTGATCAAAGCTGATATTAGAAGGGTCCTAGATCGAATGCAAGTCCAATACAGAGCGACAAAGACCGGATTCGATTGCATACATGTTCCTTCCATTGATCTTTCCTCTGTCGACCCCAGTTCCCGATTAGCCCACGAGACCAGTCACCTGCAACATAGTATTTCTGGGGCATCAGGTGTTTCCAACAAGCCCACGCTCGTGAAAAAGGCGTCCAAGATATCGTTTAGCATGAAACGAGACAAGAGAGATAACACGTCGATTGAGAAGTCTCGGAACGGAGGCGACCATGGAAGTCCAAAAGAGAAAGAAGGCCAGCAGCAACAGGAGTCGGCAGGTAGACCGAGTGCGACGCTTTCTTCAACAGCCAGCCGCTCCTCGTCGTTCTTCAACGTTTTGCATTCTGCAGCCTCTCAAGACCAACAGCTATCCCCCTTGTCGCCAAATGCAGACGCTATAGGCCTCGCCATCGTTCCTTCCATTGAACTTTCCTCGCCTACTTCGACCTCGCCACCAAGAGCCACGAAGGTACTTCCGCCAATACCTCGGGATTTCGGTGCGCCGGTGACGCCTTCGACTGCGAGGACACCGAGCCCGTTGCCCACGGGTGAGGTGGATAGAGACCTTTTTGAGACGATGGGCAATAATACCCTAAGTGTGAGGTTTGAAATCAATATCGTTAAGGTCTGTTGTGCTTTCGGCATTGCGATGCCTGTCCAACATGATGCTGATATGATCACGTTTAGGTGCCGTGGCTACCGTTGCATGGAATTCAGTTCCGACGCGCAGGAGGTGATGGATGGCAGTACCAGATGCTCGCTCGAAGAGTGCTGACGGAACTAAAATTGTGATGATAATGACGGATAAATGGATGAACAAAACAACCTTTATGACTTATATTTCTACTTGCAACTCTCCCTCTCTTTTCTCTCCTTAGCGGGCGTTTTCTCCGCTACCATGATATTCTACTCACTCTCTTTCTACTTCGCAATTTTTTGTCTTGTCCTTTGATCTGTTATTTTCATCGTGGTTCCTCATAATGCTGGTCTAATTTCTTTTCACCCATACGTACTTTCACTTTGCCTTTCGTGCTCTAGCGCTATTTATGGGTGTAACACACTTTTTCTTTGGG